TGCTCTCGGGGGTCTGACTTTCTTTGCTTTGCTAGGAGCAGCTACACCCAGCACTTGTCTTGTAAGTTCTATTTTTGCCAATATTTTTTCCAGAAAATTCTCTGATACTTTCAAATGAAATGTCATCAAGATTCTGATTAGAGGTTTTAAATTATTGTATTTTTTAGGTAAAAATGGACATTACCTGACATTCTACTGTTCATTGTACCACATGATATACCTTCCAATTACTGAGATTCTGTACTCATTAAGTACATTTTGTGGTGCTTATGCGTCACTTTTGTATATTCACTCCTTAAATTGCTATTTCTTGCATATGTGCATCATATACTTTTTCATTATGGTTTTGAATAATTATTGCTTATGCTTGAAAAGTTATTGAATTTTGGTCTACTGGTCTTATATTTAGCAATATTCCCTGATTTCAGTATCAGTTCTAAAATTTTAACTAAGTCTCCAGGCTTTCTGAAAATTCAGTTCAGTCTGCAAACCGTGACACCTGCGTCCTCCCTCGCAGAGCCAGCCACAGGGTGCCAGGGGAGCACAGCAGTGCTAGAGGCTTCCTGGACCATGGAACATAAACACAGCCTTGTTGTCACATGCTGTTTCTGTCACATGCTCAGTGACTCTCATGCTCTGTCCCTGCGCCTCAGTTTCTCTATCTGGAAAATGATAGCTGCCTTCCAGTCCCTCCTGCAGCTCTCACCACTGTGTCCCTGGCTCTCGTTCCCTCTCACTTTCAAGCCCTTCCCTTCCTTCCTCCCTTGTCTCTTCCCTGTGTCTGTCAGAGCAGGCTTCTTGTGTGGTGCCACTCCCAGGGCCAGTCTTCCCGTCTGCCTGAAGCTGCTCCCTTAGCAGCCTGTCCATCATGTAGAGCTGGAGCTTCTTGCCGACAACTCTGTTCAAGGATAGGGCTGACAAAAACATTAGAGTTCCCTCCTTGGCACTTTGCAAAGCCTTTCAATCCAGGAAATCCTAGGCTAAAGAGGTCAGCCGTTGGACACAATGGTTCCAGAGAATCTCACAGATCAGCTGGAAGAAGTAGCGGCAGAAGTTGTCCAGTGCTAGTACAAACAGACTTTAATATTCTCCACACCAGCTGGTGTGGTATGCACACCTGAAATCCCAGCACTCAGTGAGGCTGAGGCAGGAGGATCATGAGTTTGAGTCCAGCCTGGACAATTTAGTGACTTACTGAGACCCTGTTTCAAAATAAGTAAGTAAGTAAATAAATAAATAAATTTAAAGGGGCCGGGGATATAGCACAGTGAAAAGGTCCTGGGTTCAATCTTCAGTACTGCTCACACACAAAAAAATTACTCACAGATCCATCTCCTTTTTTTTCTCACTGTCTTCTCCCTAGAAACAAGATACATGGGAGCTTAGTTGGCCATGGTCTGGGGACACAGACAGGTGCCTTCTTGGTTTTTTGCTGTGACACCTATCTCATGGGAACAAGAGTACTATAGCAGGGAGTACCATAGCAGGGTACTGTAGCTGGAAGATGAACTCTACTCTACACTCCCCTCCTTGCTGAGGAGTCATCCATCCATCCAGAATACAAGAAGAGGAAGGGAAGCAAATAAAGGACGAAGCCAAGAGATGACACAGTGGTACTCGAAGGCCACCCTTCCTGGTCCAGCCTGAGAATACATTGTTAGATGAGGAGGTCTGTGTTGCTCCCACTTTTTGGCTATTCTGAATAGTTCTGCCATGAGCATGGGTGTAGAAGTATCTGTTTGAGTCTTTGCATTCAGTTTTCCTACATACATTCCCTAAAGAGGCACAGTTGGACAATATGGTAATTTTGTGGTTTAGTTTTTGAGGTGCTACAAACCTGTTTTCTACAGAAATGCACCATATTACATTCCCTGCCAGGTGAAAGTAAACCCTCTATATCACTCATGTTAAAGCGAGGAGCATTTGAGAATGTTGAGGCAGGGAGGGAGAAGGAGCTAGGGTCACTGGGACAAGGAAGGGGCTCTGACCTGTGTCCCAAGCCATAAAGGTGGTGCTTAGGAAAAGGGGGCAGCTGGGCTCTCTCTGGCTTCCACACTTCACAGCTGCATGACTCCAAGGAAGTTACTTATTTCTTTTGTGCCTCAGTTTTCATATTTGTAAGTGGGGATAAAATAGAATACACAGGTCTGTTACAAGAACTAGCTGTGTTTAAAATGCTGAGGGCAGTGTGTGGCATGAGGCCACGGCCACATAAGGGCTGTTAAGAACCCTGAGCTAGGCTGGGGGGTGGGACACTGGGCAGAGCCTGTGGACGATGCTCACGGGGTGATCATGCCAGGCTGTGGGTGCATCTCCAAGACAAGCAGGGGAAATTGCTACTTCCCAGAATGAGAAACCAGCGAACAGAAGGTGGGGAAGCAAAGAGAGGAGAAATGCCACAGAAAACACTTCTCTGCACTTTTTAGCTAATTGTGAGGGTCCAAAAGAAATAGTGGGAAAGAGGAGAATTTCGCTAAATATAGAAGTACATGACTTATACAGAATGATCTACATGAAAAATAAACCCTCCATGACTGACCACAATGTTTTCTACTTATTGTGTGCTTATTTCAATAATGAATTAGAACATGACTTATCTGCTTTAAGTTATTAAGGTAACAGTAACTGCCATTAAACTATGAGTCTAATTTTGACCAACACAGAAACAGCTACAAGAAACCCCATTTAAAATTGTCAGAGGAGTCGGATAGGCCTCTACCCCTAAAGAGAAGGGTAAGTGGCAGTGAAGACTTGGGAGGACACTGGTCTCACCAGCCTCTGGAAATGCAAGTCAGATCCTCAAGATAGCGTCTCATACCCGTGAGGAAGGTGTTGTGCTTTGAAAGAAACTGAGAAAAATCTCAAGAGTTTGGTGAAGATGTGGAGAAATCAGAAGCCTCAAAAAATGAAATAAAATAAAATAAAGCTGTCGTTGCTGGTAGGAAGAGCACAATGGTGAGCATTCTGAGGAAAATGGTACAGTGTGTTTCCTCAATAATTCAACATAAAACTACCATCCCACCCAGCAGCTGTACTTCTCGGTCTATACCTAAAGGAATCCAAAGCAAAAACTCAAACCCATCCGTATACACTTGCAGGCGCAGCCTCCTCATCTGCAATGGTCCGAAAGTAGAGGTGTTACTATGTAGGGCCCAGGAGTCCCTGCAAGAGGAAAGGGGCCCCGGCTTGCCTCCCTGTGGCTTCTTGACTCATCGCAGAAAAGGGACTTGGGGACGCCTCGAGTGAGGCAGAGATAGGTTCACCAGGCAGAGTTAGAGGCAGGAGGACAGGAAAAAGTCCAGCGAGGGCCTGCAGGACTAATTCCACACAGAGTGCCAGCCTGGCTGCTCATGGAAGGAGAAGGCCCATCTGCATGGATAGGCCAAGGAGGGCTGGTCTTGATCTCAGGCCCAGTGTCCTTGTCCCAAAGCAACCCTTGGGGCCGCAGGGACATCTGGGTTCCCATGAGGTGATGGGAGAGGGAGTCTCACTGAAACCCATGTGGTTATGGGTTTGGAGAGTTCTGCTCATTCCTCCAGGGATGCAGAAGTGGATGCTGTGAAAATCTGGCAACTGGATATCCCAGCAAGCCCTGAGAATTACTTCAGCTGCTCTCAACTTGGTGTCCTTGGTCTTGGGGGGGTGGCAGCGATATAGCTTGGGTAAATGTAAGGCTCATTCACTGTAACAGATGCTCCCTGAGTGACAAACATACCTGTGTGCACCACGAGCCTGTGTGTGCAGTTCAGGAGGGCCCTGACCCGGAGTTTTAAGGTCCTAAGGGAGACAGACACAAAGCGAAAGGAGAGACACCATGCTCTGTTCCCCTTCTGCTTTTCAGCAGCATCTGCAGGCCCAGCCTCTACTGCAAATCCCCCCTGGTCTGAGTCCATGTCTCAGTCTCCAGGGATTTGAGTGTCAGCCAATCTGGCTTTGTTGTTTTCTGGTTAAGCAGCAAGCTAGCACATGACCTGGCTGAGCTGAGCCCTGGCGGTACACCGAGGGAGGAAAGCGGGGATGGAGAGGAGCCCCGGGCTCACTGTGATCGTTGTACCTTAGGATTCCAGTTTTCTACTCTCCTGTCTACCTATCCTTACTTCTACCTACTCCAGCAGCAACCCAGGTCTCTACTGACAGATGAACGATGAAACAAAATGTGGTATGCGTAATAGTCAATAACAAGAAAAAAGATTCTGACATGCGGTACAGCATGGATGAACATCCAGGATGTTGGGTTGAGTGACAGAAGCCAGCCGCAAAAGAGCAGCTACCATATGGTGCTGCTCCTGTGGGGCACCTGACTCGTCCAGTTCAGAGACAGAAAGTCAACGGTGGCTGCCCGGGCTTGCAGGAGGGAAAGGTGGGAGCTCTTGTCCGCTGGCTACAGAGCTTCGGCTTGGGAAGATGAACACACCCTGGAACGAGTATGCAGTGGTTGCCTGACAAGGTGAATGTGTTTTCTGCCCTTGAACGGAATATTTAAAGATGGTTAAAATGGTCAATTTTATGCCATGTATATTTTCCCATACGAAAAGGAAAATCTCCACACTCTGACACATCCCAGCTGCCACCTGCATGGCTGAATTTCTTATAAATGTTCTGCTGTCTGTGTGTGGATCTGGAAATTATGAGCTTTCCTCCCAGTGAGAAAAATATTAAGGATGTGGCTGGCAGTCTCAAAGAGGGGGAATTGAGAAATGTGCTCAGGGACAAGCCCTTCAGAACGAGCTGGAGTTGGAGACACCCTCATGTTGCTCATCGTTGCCTTAAATGACTTGGCGGACTAACATAATCCTTCAGAACCATCTACTTTATAAACTTCTGACTGCTGTGTATGAAATTTCCAGGACCATTGGTTCATATTTTGCCATTATTGTTCTGCGGCATTAGGGGGAATAAAATGATGTCTAAACAGAAACAAAGAATAAAAAAGAATTTCAATGCACAATAACGCGAGTTCAGATGTATCTGAGATGAACAGACTTGCTTCGTTTACTCACCCTAACCCCAAGCGTCTTCATTCAGAAATATACACCCACTTTCAATCCATTGCAGAAGTTGTCAAATCGTGTTTATGGGTCTCTCTGTAAGAAAAACAGCATTTTCACAGGCAAATTTTTCTTCTTAAAACCGTCCAAATGTGGTGCTTAAATTGAGCTTGAAATCCAGTCTTTAACTTAAATATTACCCGGATGAGCAATTATAGGTGTATTTCCTTCTCTGGCACAATCAGCAAGTCTTGGAAGGTCGAGAGACGGCAGGCGTTTGGGGACATGCCCCTGGTCCCCTGGAAAGGCCAGAGGAGACTGTTTTCCCTTCTGCTTATTAAACCTTTTAAAAGATCATTTCCTCCCCGGTGCAGAAAGCAGTGTAGTCACAGCAGGGCTTAGGGGAGCTCGGCTTTATGCTGTGAAAAGCTGAAACTTGCTGGTGATTCAAACACCAGCTCGGCCTTCGCAGAGTAATGGGAGCTGAAGTTGCTAATGTGGACTTGGCCGGTACTTCATAGGAGGAAGTAGTCCTGGAGCTGCGCGAGGCAGGAGAGACAGGGTAGCACCCACTCAGGGCAGCAGTGAGGGAGAGGCGGAGGAGGTCTGTGCAGAGTAGGAACATCTGAATTCAGTAATATTGAAAAGTTGCTTGGAAATGAGACATATAAATTCAGCCAAAACAGAAAAAAACCCCAGAAAAGTATTTTCTCTTAAATAATTTTTTCTCTGATTAGAATCAACTTCTCCTATATTCCTTAGCCCGATGATTTTCCTACTTCCAATTTCTCTCCTAAGAATTTTATGGAAATGGACCCTTAAAAAACAATGAGATTAGAAGGTCAGAGGGACATCTTTTTTTCCTTTGTTTATAGGTAAAGATGATATTAAGCATGGACTTTTGATTGTCAGTAAATTAATTACCAATGAGTTTTCTACATCATTTGACCACAGACAGCCTGGTCTGGTGTTGTGCTAAGGCTGCTACATATTTCAATTAATCCTGTAACACTTCTATAATGCAGCTAGTATTGTGAACCCAATTTTATCAATAGGGAAACTGAGCCTCAGAAAATGTAGGTGAATTTCTCATGGCCTCTTATATCTTATGTCATGGGACTAGGATTTAAATTCAGGCTTGGTAGATTTTGAAGCAAGCTGGTTGACCGCTCAATTCTGTCACCAGTCCATGTTAATGAAAGTTACTGGCAACAAAGCCACAGTGTCATAGCAAGGTGTAAAAACCAAGGCTGGCACCTCAGCCCTTTCTGATTTTACAGAGACAACTTGGGGTTGTCAGAAATGTCAGTCTAAAAATGTTATTTTTAAGGCAGTGTTTCCTAACAACACATAAGTCTGGAGCCAAGGAGTTTGGAGTGGGGAGCTGGAGGAATTAGCGTATGAAATGCACCACGGGTTGTGCAGTTAAGAAGGTGTTTAATACATGAATTAATCAGTTTTTGCTTTGAAAATCCTGAGGAACAAAATTCCCAATGGCTTCTAGCTGTCGAGTATTTTTCACACATCAGCTTGCAGGCCCAGCTGGAAATACAAGTGATGCTTGGCCCTGGTGCCTGTATTGTCCTCCCGGTAACAAGAGGAATCTCTCCTTGTACAGGTGAGAGGGGTGCAGAGGCCGGGAAACAGCAGGTGTCCCTCAGACTGTAGACTGCAGTGCATATGGTGTGTGTCCTGTTCCTCATATCCCATGGGGCAACCCCACTGCATGGCCAAGCCTGACAACACAAAGATGGGAAAGTCTCCGCTGAGTTGGAGATCCAAGGATGGGAACTTAGAGGGCTAACACATCTTCAGCAAGGGCGTGTCCTCAGGTACAGCACAAACTTACCTGGTCACAGAAGACCTTTCCCTTCTCTCTCCCTTCTCTCCTCCCCTTCCCCCTCTCCCTTCTCTCTTCCCCTTCCTCCTCTTCCCTCTTCAACATTATCTGCTTGACCCAAATCTCTTACTGCTCAAGATATTATTGTTCCTGAGCATAGTTTGAGATAAATTTGCTTAACTGATATAAAAAGACCTCCTACTTGTAGTGCTTATGTTTTAACTAGTAGAACAGCAACATAACCTCTGGTATGATGTTTTCTTCAGAGAAAATAATAAAAGCATCAGTAGCATTCTGAATATATAAAGGCTGTTTACTCTGAAGGATCGTATTGATCAACATACCTAGACCTTTTGTTCCATTCTCCAAACAGCCTGTAGATCAGCTGCTGTAGTCCCCATGTTACAGGAAGAAACTCAAGGTCCACAGCCATTGTTTGGAAGTGTCCCCAAGTTAGAGCACAGGGCCAACAGTCCCCTATACATCTCTGGAGCTACTTGTCACACTGTGCCCCTGGGTCATGATCGTACAGGCTGCACTTGGTAAGGTTAAAAGGCACAATATCTGAGCAGGTGTTAACATGAAAACCAAGACTACTAGCTTGAATGGCTGTTTTTACACTGTGTAGATCAGGTATGCTTGATTCTAAACTCTTAGGACCAGACAGATCTGAGTTTTGGATTTCAGAATGGTTGCATGTGCATTATGAGATACCTGGAGAATGCGACCAGGTATAAATATGAAACTCCTTTGTGTCTCACGCACACAGCCTGCAGGCAAGTTTGTGCAGTACTGCGACCTGTCACACACGCTTGAGGTTGAAATCTGCACTAGCATCGAATCAGCCAGTGCTCACAATGCTTCAGATTTTGGAGCATTTTGGATATGGAACATAAAAGTTTTTGATTCAGTTGGTTGTCTCAAGGCTAAAGCCATCATTCAAAAATCATAGTAGAGGGTACTGTCTGTTTGTTTTATAATCACTTAGGAAATACTGGTGACCTTATTTTTCTTGCAAAGGCGACAGAAAAGCAGCTCTGCTGTCTCTCCCATTTGAACACCAGCCCTGTTCACCTTATTCCTCCCAAGATTTTGTAGCAAAGAGTGTCTGGGCAGAGACAGTTTGTTATAAAGAATAAACCAGAAAAATAAAATACATCACAAAAAGGCAGTCCTAAAGGGAGGTAAACTGAACTGGCTGATGACATTGCCAGTTTGGTGTAGTATCCTCTGTTTACACCACTGCAGGCCTGGGACAGGATTACCAGTGCTTCCCTCAGCTTAATCCTTTTCTTTTTGCAGCCCAAGAGGGTAAATAAAGCTGGAGGTGAGGAGTTTAAGGGAAATGAAGTATAAGAAAAACAAAACAGCAGCAACAGGATCAAAAAGCACAAGAAATGAAATCACCTTGGACTTATTTTAAGTAAGGAAGGACTAGAAAGAGTAAATGAAGCAGGAACTCATCTATCTTCTGCATGAAGCTTAAACCACGGTGTAGCATGGGGGAAGCAGACAGACAGTGTGAGTTTACCTCCCAACTGTGCTTCTTGCCGGCTATGGGACTGTGAGCTGCTTTACTCGGATTCTGGAGTTATCTGGAACAAAGACACTAGCAGCTGCAGGGACCTGGCCATGTTACTGTAGTGACTCTTGGAGGTATTGTATTACCCTGTGACCCGTATGTAGGAATGACATAAAGACGTTTTGTGTAACTCACAGAAGGTATCTTAAGATGTAACTAGCTGTTATTTCAGAAAACAAAACAAAACAAAACAAAACTGAATTTCACTGGAAAATTTAAATTTTTGGCTTTTCTTAAAAATTTGTGAGATCTGGTGTTTGGATTAGCAGTGCTGCATAATGAACCACTGCAAAACCCTGTAGCTTAAAGAAGCAATCATTTCTTTACTCACAAATCTGCAATTTGGCAGAGCTTGGTATAGAAGGCATATGTGTTCTGGCAGGTTTGTGGGGCACAGAGAGGCTGGAAGATGCACTCCCGACTGGGGTCTCACATGGGCACAGACTGTGGGACTCCCAGGGACAAAGGACTGAGGAACTGAGGCCACGCTTAGTCTCTGCTGGGCACTTCCATGTGCTCTGGGCTTGCATCAGGTGCTGGTACATGGTCTCAATTATCTTGGGACTCTTTTGCTTGGAGCATATATATTTATTATTGTTTTATCTTCCTGGTGGGCTGAGTTTTTTTATGATACATAATGTGCTAATGTCCTCCTTTGTCTCTTGTAATACTTTTTGCTCCTCCAACTGATTTATTTCCAAGGTTCCATCCTCAAGCTCACAGATCCTTTGTCCGATGCAATCTCTTCTGCTGAGAAAACTCTGAGAAAAATTTCCATTTCTTCATAGTGTTCTTTTGCTGCAGCGTTTCTGTGTAGTACATTCAAGTATTTCCTGTCTTTCTGTTGACTTTGTTCATGCATTATTCTTGTGACCTCACTGAGTGTTCTTCTCACTGTCTGTCTTGTAAGCCATTCAAACCTATTTCGTTGAGTTCAGTTTTGGAATTTATCTCATTTTCTGTGCTCAGAGCTTCTTTGCCTGACTCCTCATTTCCCTAGACTCTCTGAATTGCTCCCTGGACTCAGACACAACAGGCCACTCTGCTGATCCTCCAGGCCTGACTGCCCTCAGCAGCAGCCCCCACCTGTTAGCCTGGTTGGAAGCCCGGACCTCGGCCAGCTCACTGCTCCCCAGGAGAAGCTGCACCCTGGACACTGCCCATGTGTTTTTTGCCAGGCAGGACAAAGGAGCCATGGCACCTCAGTCTCCACTGCCACTGGGGCTCCCCCAGCCTCATAAAGCACTCAATAAAGCTGGGGCTCTGATATGCCTCATCTCTGACCACTCCTGATGAAACTCTGGTCTCCTGGTCATCTGGCGCTGTGCAGGACAGGCTCCATGGGGTCTTGAATCATCCCGCCTGCTACCCCTTCACATCTCCAGGGACGCGGCAATGCTTCGATGCAAGTCTGAGTTCTCAGAAGGAGCTCAGTCCTGCATGGTGGCTGAATCTGTGAGGATGGAGGAAGGAAGGGCGGAGCCCCTAATTCCTCCATCCTGCAAAAGTCACTTCTCTTAAATGTTGGCCTCAAGTCTAGCTGGTGTGATACTGGCATGACCACTCCAGGCATTTGCTGGATCGCTGTCTGAAGGATATTTACTTTCTATCACCTCATTCTCCAAACTGTCAAAATGGGTGCTCAAATCCTATCCATCATAAGATGAAATAAAAATAAAGAATATCAAGCACAGCAGGTGACACCATCAGAAAGCTAATGGCCTTTGTGATGTCCAGCACTTACACGTAGAACCGTGAATCCAGCAGACCGAGGGGGCAAGGATACTCTGATTTGCCAAAAATGAAATGGAAGTCTCATTTCAGGACACACCAGCTACCTAACTAACAAGAAAGAAATGTAAACTAGGGTGATCTGCAGCCTGGTGAGGATTCGGGGGCTATTTACTCACTGAGCCATGCAAGCACAGAAACTGAGGGGTGCAGGACAGAAACCTCTGTAGCTGCTGCCTTGGAGTCTAAAGGTATCTCCATGAACTCCTGGAAAATAAGATGAGGTCTAGTGAAGTCACACACAGGGCCCATGTACAAGTGGCCCATAGTGGTACCAGACATGAGCAGGAG